AACGTACGACTTATGTAAGAAGATGTAATTTAGGTTATAGAATACATCTCTACTTGAATCTTTAACGCAACGACTTCTGCGTATTGACTCTTAGTGCCTTTATTGTCACCCATTATTATTTCATATTAGGCATCTAAGTCTAATTCCATAAACTCAACATTGTTTGTTTGGACATATAATTTGCAGCTCAGGCTGCTCTTATTTTGTATATAAACTGCCAAATTTTTGTACGGAGCAAATATTGGCACACGTTGACAGCTCTAGACGCCATATTGGACTAATAAAAAGTAATGGCCCAAACAGAACAAAACCTTCATTAGACGTCCATATAGCCTCCATAGCTCTATACGATATCTACCTCCACGATGAAAGTTAGATAGATCTCCAAGAGAGATCCATATTATATCCATGTTAGATGTCCTCGACAAATCTATTATCGACGTCCATTAGATATCTATTATGGATAAAAGAAACCTGATATACGGCATCGCCGAGTAAGTTCTCTTTCTCGTATTTAAAAAAAACGATATAGAATTGAATAAAAGACGCAGCATTATAAGATTTTTTTATTCATTAACAAAATAATTCCTTGAAGAAGAGTCCTCAAAAATTATTTTTAAGATGAAACTAAATGAGATGTTGTTTTGATAGTACAGTTTTATTAAGTTTTGTGTAAAAATAATTTCAGGAATTTGACATGTTCTCGTTAAATGTAGTTATTTGTTTTTTGTTATGTTGTTGAAAATCTATAAAATCATCCAACGAAGCTTTATGAGATTTAGGATTGATTCACACAACGTTTGAAAAATATTTATAAATATAAATGTCTAATAGAGGTCGAATAGAAGTATGAAATGAAAGTATGAAATGAATTATGGATGTTTATAGTAGGTATCTATAGGAAGTTACATGGATGTCTAATGAAGATTTTAAATATCTATGAAGAACGTCTATAATCGATGTCTAATAGAAGTTTTTGTTCTGTATGGGTGGAGATCTAAATTTCTTAAATTTTTTTGTTCTCAGCATAACCTCTACTAGCCTGAGCTACATTGATGTCTACTTTAATCGTGGAAAAGGATTATTAAATCTGTAAATTGCAATTATGTTAACGGTATCTTGAAAAATAAACACGTTCGGTCGATAAAACAGACGACTTTAGAATGCGATCTTAATTACCATTAAAAAATTAAGTATATTTAATATTTTAGTCGATTTACACACACACATTCATCTATAAACATATGTGCACACGCATGCACGTATTCTCTTTGTTTACATAGAAGCATGCAAATGCATGTAACACTTACAAATATATATACACGTAATAGCGCCGGAAAACGCTTGGAAAACACTTTAGCGAGAGGGGGATAGACGAAAGTATTTCAAATAATGATCTCTTTTTAATAGTCTTTACATTACTAACAATAAGTAGGGAAGAGATAGAAATGTACAGAAATATGCAGATTATTTATTTTTACAAAATGTACAAACCGAATATTTAGTGCACAAAATCGAGAAAAAAAACTTAATAAATGATTTTATTACCTGAAAACTAAAAAGTTTGTATACTGAATTTTATTTTGATAAATTTGTTAGTGTGGTGGTCGGTTCGACCACACATATTTGGCGCAAGCATGCTTCACGACTACGCAAGCTTCACTTGGAAGCAATCGTTTTTCGAGGTATGTACATTCAGACTAGATTCGGAATAAATTAATAAGAAGAAATCGCCAACAGATGAAAGATTTTCTCGATTTCAAAATTTATTCAAGATAGATATATAAGGATCTCGAATTAAGCCTGAGCCAAGCCACTTGCACTTTGGCAAATAAATGTAACCTTTCTGACAACCTGAAGCGGTCAAGCTATTAGCAGATTTCTTGGAAGCTAATTAAAATCGACCTTTCTCCAGTTTGTCGAACCAGACCAAGAGAGACACTCGCAAGATGGGATCTGCGGATCTGGAAACTGACCTTTCCTCGACTCCAAATGCCTTCTCCGATCTCCCCGCTGAGAAAAAGATCGAGGAACTCAGATAATTCCACTCGCAAGGGACTCAACATCGGCGCGCAGCCCGGATCGTGTTCTGCCGAGTAATATAACATTATCAGCCGACTGGGATAAAGGATACAATCGATATAGAAGAATAAAAGTATATTCTACGTTTGGGAGGAAACCGAAGAGTCATAGACCGAGGAATCAGAAAGTTACACGTCGCCTGGTTTTCCATGCGATATAAAGAAATTCGGATCGGAGAAGTTGACTACTGTACCTTGGCTTATTTGACGAGATTCACTGAGAGTATAGAACCAAACGGCCCTTTTCAGGACCACATAATAAATCACAAAAATAAATTTATCCTGAAAAACTTGTAAAATAATCGATAAAATAAATTTTCTAAAAATATCTTCGTAAAAGCTAATTAGTTGATGAAACATTAACACTACCATTAGTAATAGCATTTAAATCTAATTTCATTACATTTTCCGTATGTAGGTATACGTAAAAAGTTTAAAAAATTTAACCGATATTGTGCCATAGTACTTTGTAAATAAAGTTTAATAATCTTCTTAAAGAAGAAAATAAATGTTCGGTTGTACACGTAGTTACAAGAATTGTTAAAGTTAATTTTATTAACTTGATTAATTGTGACAGCAAATTTGCTATGTCGTTCCTGCTGTAGCAAACGAACTACACATATTTAATTTATGAAAACTACAATTCTTTTTTCACATGCTATACGCTTGTCAGTGCGTTCTTTCATCAGGCGATCTTTTCTGTACATATGGAACCTACAGTTTTAATGCCAGTTCCGAACGGCCTATAAGAAGAAACTTTCTTGGGCAGAGTTACTCTCGATGGTTTGCCTTTGCTTTCCGAGAGATGGCGATCGCATACAAATCAATTAAAACCGATTTAGAGTTATGTTTTGGGTGGATTTGAACCCGAGTCTTTGGCACAGAAAACCAACGCGCAGCAGTTCGCACCACGAGATCGCCGAGAAAACTACAAAGATAATTTGGAAAATTGTATGTACAAATATTAAAAATAAGTATAAGAAATTGTATTGTAAAATAATCAATGACGCGGAATTAATGACAAGTTTCACTAATGCAACTAGTAAATTAATTTGAAGAATTAATTGCATTAGTGAAACTTGTTATTAATTCCACGTCATTGATTATTTTACAATACAGTCTTTTACACTTATTTTCAATATTTATACAGCAGTCTTTTAAATTATCTTTTGATTTGTCGAATTTATAATTTGGTATCTTTTTCTTGCGTTTTAGTTTGGGCGAATCAATTTCGAACATAACCTTTTTTTCGTTAACTATTTTTAGGTATCAAAATTTTCTAAACTCTCTAAAACTTTTTATAATGTCATGTAAAGTTTGAATTAACAATTTTCCGTTTCTAAAATGAATTTGTTTTTTTTTAAATAGCAGTACATATCTTGACCGCATTTAAATAACAAAAATTTTCTGTAAAAGAAATATCGTTAAAAAAATCAAACCATTTCATATTGTTAAAAAACCATTTACTTTTACAGCCACGTCGAATGTATCAGAATAAAGAATACTCACTGAAAAATTCTTTCAAAGTGTAGTTTTCTCGGCGATAGCGTGATGCGAACAACTACGCGTTGGTTTTCTGTGCCAATTAAGACTCAGGTTCAATAAATCCATTCAAAACAGTATAACTCTAAATCGGTTTTAATCGATTTGTATGCGATCGCCATCTCTCGGAAGGCAAACACCGAGAGTAACTCTGCCCAAGAAAGTTTCTTCTTATATGCTGTTCGGAACTGGCATTAAAACTATAGATTTTATATGTGCAGAAGAGATCGCATACGCACTGATAAGTGTATAACATATTGGCTTTATCAGAAATAAATAAAATATTCTGAAAATTTTTTCTAATATTTTTTAGACTTATAAACTGTTATAAATAACATTAAAATGTTATTGTTTAAGTTTATTTTGCCGTAAATTTTATTTAAAGATCGTTATATACAGAGTGTCCCATTTTATATTTGACAGTCAAATATTTGGAAATCGCGAGGTTTGAGAGAAAAATGTTTCAGACAAAAGTTGTAGGGTTTCAAGGAGGACATAACACGATGACCTTGAATTGCTCTTATATGGTGTTTTTTAAGATCATTTAAAGGTCCACTTAATTTTTTTAAATGATGTGTTTTATTACAAAATCAGATAGAGCGTTTAATTTTAGTTTAAAAAAGTATTAAAACACTTTTGGTTTAAATTTTTTATTTAAGAAGATATTACACGAAAAAGAATGTGTGCATAACGTGTATTTAGAAAGTCTCCTACAATGCGGGAATAATGCGAGGGTGCTTCAAATCAAATTTAAATAATTTTTACCTGTAACAGTATGAAGAAATAAGGACCAATGATCTGTTCATTTAAAATTCCACATCACACATTTAAATTAAAACCAGCGATGTTGATTATCAACTTGTCGGTACCATCTTGGATTTTGCATCGACCAGTAATGACTATTGTGTCGGTTCAATATGCCGGTACTGCAAAATGTTGCTTCATCACT